CTGGTCACAGGAAGATTAAAGATGGGACTTTCAGCCCACCCTCAACCTCTGTAGAGGGGAGAGGGCTTCAGGTTGAGTTGATCACCAGTGGCCAATGGTTTAATCCATCCATCCATCCACATAATGAAGCCTCCGTAAAAAGGACAGAGTTCTGAGGACTTCCGGCGAGCTGCACACATAGAGGAGCCGGGGAAGACATGGAGTCCTGCACCCCCTCCCACCTCAGCTGTTCCTGTGTGTCCCTCCATCATGCTGTTCATCTGCATCCTTTGTAACATGCTACGTCATAAGCCGGTCAACATGAGTAAAGTGTTCCTCCGAGTTCTGTGAGCTGTTCTAGCAAGTTGACTGGACCCAAGGAGGGGGGTGGGAACCCTGACTTACAACAGGTCAGTCAGAAGCACAGGCACAAGTGGCATTGGAAGTGGGGGACAGTCTTGTGGGACTGAACCCTTAACCTGCGGGACCTGATGCTATCTCAGGTACACAGTGTCAGAATTAAACTGAATGAGAGGATACCCAGCTGGCGTCTGCTGGATAACTGTTTGCATTCAGGGGAAAAAAAGGCTCCTCGCATGTCTGGTGTCAGAAGTGTGTTGAGTGCAGTGAGAGATTAGGAAAATGCTTTGGTTTTTCCTACCATAATAATAATACTTAAAATCAATATTTACTTTCCATCCCATCCCTTCACCACGCATTTTGGGGCCCTAATTGGTGCCAGGCACTGCTCTGGGCACTGGGGATACAAATCCTGACTGGGACCGCGTCGCCACCCTCATGGAGCGACAGTCTGTTGGGAGAGCTGATCAGGTGTCCGATAGCCACTGAGCAAATACAATGATTTCAGTTAGGAATAAGTGACGTGAAGATAACTGAGCAAGAGAAGCGAGTGAATATGGGCTTGGTGGGGGAGGGGTGCCCTAAGAAGGATGTTTGACGAAGGCCTCCCTGAGGACGTGCCATTTAAACCAAAGCCTGAACAATGACGAGGGTCCACCTGACCAGAGAACTGAGAGAACAGCATTCGGGCGCAGGGAACAGCAAGCACAAAGGCCCTGAGGCAGCCCCTAGCTTGGCTGAATCAAGGAACAGCGAGGGTTGTGGAGAGCTGTGGCACGGGAAGGGGAGATGGCAGGAGAGGAAACCCTGGATACAGGACCAGGTCACACGGGCCCTTGCAGGCCACTGTGAGGACATTGGCTTTTACCCCAACTGAGACAGGAGCCATAGGAAGGCTTATGATTTATGCTTTTTTTTTGAGTTAGAGTCTCACTCTGTCGCCCAGACTGCACCGCAGCCTCGACCTGCTGGGCTCCGGCGATCCTTTGGCCTCAGCCTTCCAAGTAGCCAGAATTATAGGCATGCGCTACCACGCCCAGCTGATTTTTTGATTTATTGTAGAGATGAGGTCTCACTGCCCAGGCGGATCTCGAACCCGCGGGCTCAGGCAATCCACTCACCTCAGCCTCCCAAAGGCGCACGATTACAGGCTGAGCCACCGAGCCCGGCTGATTTAAAAAGATCATTTGGGCACCAGTGTACTGGCTTGCACCTGCAGTTCCCTACTCAGGAGGCTGAGTTGGGAGGATTGCTTAAGCCCAGGAATCTGAGGCTACAGTGACCTTTGATTGCACCATTGCACTCCAGTCTGGGCAACAGGGTGAGACCTCATCTCAAAAAATAAAAATAAATAAAAAGATCCTTCAGGATACCCAGTGAATTAGGGGGCAAAAAAGGGAAGGAGATAACCAGTTCTGAGACTGTGGCAGGAATCCAGATAAAAAATGGCTGTGGCTTAGGCTATCGTAAAACAAAAAAGATATTCCCCATGTGAAACACAAAACTAGAATGGTCAGGCAAACGAAGACAAAGGGGCCGCGTCAGGGTAAGAGACTCTGATGGCAGACAAATATTGTGCCGGGGGAGATAGTGGGCGAACAAAGGGCGAGAGGGTATTGGCGAAAATGGGACGTGGGGTGGCACTGGAGCAGGGCTTTGGAATCACGCAGGCGGTTTGCCAGGAAGCAAGAGCTTGAGACAGGAGGGAAGCACGAGCCTGAACTCAGCCTTGGAAAGGTTGAAGGAGGGTGTCCCCAGGCTGCAGAAGGTCTCGGCTTTCAGAGGAGAACCAGCCATTTAAGAGCCAGACTGCTCAGGGTCAAATCCCCAGCTTCCTAACTGTGTCACTACTCTGTGCCTCAGTTTCCTCATCTGTAACATGGTGATTACACCAAGCAATGTGTACAAAGTTCTCAGGAGAGTGCCTAGCCCACAGCAGGTATAGCCTGAAGGCCAGTTTGTCTTACTGTCATGATTATGATCCTATCTGGCAGATCAGAAAGATACCAGGAGGAGAGTCACGTAGGGCACTGGTACAGGAGCCAAGGCCTGGGGGAGGAGTGTTCTTTGGGTAAGAACACACCCGGGCACACACCTCCACCCAGACTCCTGACACAGCTCTGAACAAGTCACTCCGACTCTTTGCCCTCAGGCTCATCTGTGAAATGGAGACTTTGAGGTGGTCAGGGGCAAATGGATGGGTCTGAGAGCACCACGTTGCTGCCGGTGCCTGCTGGGAGGGCCAGGAGGTACAGGGAGGGTGCCCCCCACCGGTTGCTATGAGCCCTGCCAACCCCCAGGGATAGCTGCATTGTTTGAGGGGCGGTGAGTCCATGAACGTTGCTTGGCACCTCAGTGGCAGAGCTAGCCCACTCAGCCTCCTTGTAAACATTTTTATATACACAGCCAGAAGGTTCTCGGCGTGGCTGCCGAGCCCTAAAAGTAAAATCGCAAGGCTGGTAAAACACAAAGATACAGCCTCTCCAGGGCCCTCGGTCCTCATAAAAGAAGCAGGAATAAAGGCCCGATCCCTCCCTGGAAGGGCACGGGCTTGCCTGTCACTGTTCATGGGCACACGTGTACACACATCCACACAAGCGCTCACCCGGGTTCACCCACATGTGCTCACCCTGGGACACATCTATGCACATGCACACATGGGCACACGAGACACCTGTGTTCTCATATGTTCACACGTGTGCACGCCTCCAGCTCACACTCACACATGTTCCATGCTCACACGGGTCACCCACCAGCTTGCACACGTGCACACACTCACCTTGACGGGGACACACACAGGCCCTGTTTCCCGGAAACCAGATTTGGAGCAGCATTGACCCCGGAGCCCCAAGGCCTTGGGGATTATGGGATGTGTGTCCTACAGGGCTGCAAACTACCCAGGGCTGTGGAGCACGGGCTGGATTAATCCAGCTCTACCCTTTATGTGGCAAGAGATGCAAGGGACTTAATCTCTCTAAGCTTCGGTTTTCTCATCTATCATGTGGGAGTGAGCAGGACAGCCCATTCCCCGCCAGGTGGTGGGGAGGTTTCTCAGTGAATGCTTGTAAAATGCTTGGCACAAGGCCCGGCACATAGTAACTGCTCGGCAAACATCAGCCATCCACATTATCCCTAGTGATCTCTGGAAGCCACAGCCCTGAGCTGCTCTTCAACCAGATGCCTCAGGGATGACCACATGCAGCAATTAGACAGGATGCAGTCGTGGGGACATGGAGGAAGCAGAGGAAGTGCTCCCTCCTGCCAAAAGAAGCTTGCTCAGGGAGTCCTCACTTTTTTTTTTTTTGAGTTGGGGTCTCATTCTGTCACCCAGACTGGAGTGCAGTGCAGTGGCCGTTCCCGGCCACCGCAGCCTCGACCTGCTGGGCTCCGGAGATCCTTCCACCTCAGCCTTCCTGTCCTCACCTTTTCTGGGAGCTCAGGGCCCAGTGGCTTCCCTGTCACTTGCCCCTCAGCCCCACCAGCTACCGCTTGGAACATGGCCAGCCTCCGGGCCACATGGCTCCCTGTCCTCTCTGCCTTTGCCAGCTATCCGGGGAATGAGAGCACACACTCTGTCCCGCTAGCAGGGGCACAGGTGGCCACACACTCTGGACTTCAGAAGCTCCTCTGAGCCAAGGACCCCGACGCTCTCCATGTTGGGACAATTTCTGTGACTAGATTCCTGCCTCAGTGGCCCCTCCCCTGACTCCCAGGCCCAGAGTCCTCACCTAATGTCCAGGCCGTTTGAAGAGACCTGCACGCCTGTTTCTCTTGGCAGTCTTTCTCAGACGGCAGAAGGGACACCAGTGGAGAGGTGGCCACGTGCCTCCATGTCCCTGCAGCAGGCCATCCTCCAGTGTCTATTCTCCCCTAATAACAAAACCCCTGACTTCCAGCTGGGCACAGCATCACCCAGGATAAAGGCCACATCTCCCAGCCTCCCTTGCAGCTACGTGTGGCCATGCGACTAGTTCTGGCCAAGGGGATACATGCAGGTGTTGTGAGTTAACTCCTGGGAACCTTGGGGTTGACATGCAATCTGTACCTCCTCTTCGTCCATCCTACTGCCTGGACTGCAGATGTGATCTCTGGCACTCTAACCACCATCTTAGACCATGAAGCCAAAGGCTGATGGCTAGGGCAGCAGGAGACTGGATCCTGAGGACTTCATGGAGCTGTCCTGGCTCTGAGCATCTCTGTGGGCCCAGAGGTGGGCCCTGCACACCTGTGACACCTCTCTGGATGGTGTGGTCCAATCAGACTGGCCCTCCCCTCAGAGACAAGACATCCAGCTTCCCTTCTCCAGTGTCAGATCCTACAGCTGGAGGCAAACCCCAACACCGGTCTTGCTTGAGTCCGACTTCCACACACCCATCAGCCCTGCCCCACAGTCCCAGCATGCACTGGAAGGAATGGAAGAGTAATGGCTCTCAGGGCCACCCCAGAGACAGGGAAGACAGAGAGGTGGCCCCCTCCGGCCTGTCTCACATCACTGGGCACTCAAGAAACTCAGGGTTTGGCCACAGGACGTCTGGCTTCCAAGGCTTCACTGCCCAGGGATGCCGGAGGAGACCATGTCACAGGGCTGGGGAAGCCTTGGGGGCAGGGAAGATATTCCCAGAGAGGGTGGGACTGCCACACCTGAGCTGGGCCACGCTCACCTTTCTCCGATGCTGGGGCCAGGTCAATGAAGCTGCGACATTTTTCACCTTTGAAAAGAAAAGAAGAGAAGGGTTTTCAGAATGTGAGTGGGCGTGCGGGCTTCCGGTGGTTGCCTGTCACCCTCCCGCAAGCGGGCGTCTCTGCCCTACCCGAGTGCATCTTCCGCCGACCCTTGTTCCTAGACACCCCATGTCCCAGGAGTGTGGGAGAGAGCCTGCCACCTCACCCACCTCCCGATCCAATACCCCAATCCTCTTGCTTCCACCTTCATCTTCCACAGCCTCCCCCCATCCACGATCCCCCTCACTGGCCTCCCCAGGTTCCATTCTGGCCTCTCTCCAAACCATTCTCCAGGCTGTGGCTGGAGGGATCTTTTCCAAACACACAGCTCTGATCGTGTCAAACACAGGAGCACACATGCACACACACATGCACAACTTGTTCCTGCTTCAAACCGTTTGATGACTTCCCCCAGAAGAAAGTTCCAATTCCCACAGGTGGTCCCAGGACTGGCCTCCAAGGGCCTGTCCACCCACTCCCCCACCACGCTCCCTCTTCTGCCACCCCAGTTCCTTGTACCCTCCATGGTCCCCCCGACCATGAGGCTTTGCGTGTGCCATTCCCCTGCCTGGAACATTGCTTCCCCCCATGATAACTCTCACAGCACTTGGCCTTCTCTTGTGGGGCACCCAGTTACCGCCACAAGACTGCCTTTGTATGTGTGATTCTTGGGTGCAAGTTAGTGCTATCGAGATGTATAACCCCCTGAAAGAGATGAGTGCTGGCCGCCAAGAACTGGAAGAGAGGATGAAAAGGAAAGAAGTGTGGGGAGGGATTTTGAGTGAATGTCTTTAATGTGACATTGTTTCCTCAAAAGTTGGCATGGGGAAAGTTGACGGCCAAATTCAGACTAGCACCCAGAGCCACATTCAAGACCTTGGTGAACCTTGGGTACTTTTGCTTCCATGGGTCCCTTCCTAAATTAAAAAATATATATATATTTGACCTAGGCAGGAGGATTGCTTGAGTCCAGAGACTGAGACCAGCCTGGGCAACATAGCAAGAACGTTTCTCTACAAAAATGAAAACCCAAAATTAGCCACGAGTAGTAACATGTGCCCATAGTCCCAAGCAGGGAGGCTAAGGAGGAAGAACTGCCTGAGCCCAGGAGGTCAAGGCTGCAGTGAGCTGTGGACATGCCACTGCACTCCAGCCTGGGCAACAGAGTAAGATCCTGACTCAAAAAAATCAATAAATTATATTTTACTACATTGGTATAAAGATGAAGATTAGTATTAGGTATTAAACATTTTCTTCACCAAAAAGTTTATTTTTTTCTTCTCCTGATTTTAAATAAATTAAAACATTTTCATGGGCCTGTGAAAGTCTTAAGGGCCCTCAGCTCTGTGACCCACGGCCTGAGGAAGACCTTGGCCCTCCTGTACCAGGCTCCCAGCTCCCACCACCGCCTAGGCACCTCGATAATGTTTAAGCTTTGTGTGCTAAGCGTTTTGCCTTCTCTTTTCTTCAACAGTTTTACTGAGATATAACTCCAACGCCACATTATTTATTCATTGACTGCATACAATTCAATAATTTTTAGTCTTCTTTTAGTATATTCACAAGATTGTATGACCATCTCCATAATCAATTGTAGAATGTTTTCATCACCTAAAAAAGAAACCTCATGCCTATCAGCCGTCATTTCCCCAACCCTCCCAACCCTAGGCAACAGCTCATCTATTTTCTGTCTCTGTAAATTGGCCTAGTCTGGGCATTTCATATAGATGGGATCATGCAATATGTAATTTTTGTGACTGGCTTCTTATACTTAGAACAGTGTTTTCAAGGATCATCCATGTTGTGGCCGGTATTTCTTTTTATTGCAGGATAAGATGCCATTATATGGATATGTCACATTTTGCTTACCCATTCATCAGTTGATGGACATTGGATTTGTTTCCACTTTTTGGTTATTTGCAAACATTCATGTACAAGTTTTATGGTGGATAAGTTTTCATTTCTCTTGGGTATACACCTAGGAGCAGAATTGCCATGTGTAACTGTTTAGCCATGTGAGAAACTGCTAGACAGTTTCCAAAATGAGTATACCAGTCTATGTTCCCACCAGCAGTGTGTGAGGGTTCCAGTCTCTCCACATCATCACTAACACTTGCTGTTGCCTGTCTTTTTTTTTTATTACAGGCATCCTTGCCAGTGTGAGGTGGTATCTCACTGTGGTTTTAATGGACACTTCCTTAATAACTCATAATGTTGAGCATCTTTTCATGCACTTGTTGGCCATCTGTATATCTTCTTTGGAGACATGTCTGTTTCGAACCATTGCCCACTTTTTATTTTTCTTTTTCTTATTGAGTTATGAGAGTTCTTCTGCATACAAGTCCTTTCTCAGATAGCTGATTGGCAAATATTTTCTCCCCTTCTGTGAGTTGTCCTTCCACTTTCTTGGTGACATAATTTGAAGCAGAAGAGTGTGAAATTTTAATGATGTCCAACTAGTTTTTTCTTTTGTTGTTTGTGCTTTTGGTGTCATATCTAAGAGGGTTTAACCTAGCCCAAGATCATGAAAATTTATTCCTATTCTTTCTCCTAAGAGTTAATGCTTGTGTTTCTGTCTATTACCTAGCTAAAGGCGATTTACACATATGGTGTATAAAAGGGATCTAACCTTATTATTTTGCATGTGGATATCCAGTTGTCACAACACCATGTGTTGAAAGACTGTTCTTTCTTCATTGAATTATCTTGGTACCCTTGTCAAAAATTAATTGATTGTAAGTGTGAGAGCTTATTTTGTACTCTCAATTCTACTGCATTAATCTATATGTCTTTTATACCAGTACTGATTACTGTGGCTTGGCAGTAAGTTTTTAAATTGGGAAGAGTGAGTTTTCCAACTTTAACTGTCATTTTCAAGATTGTTTTGCCTGTTCTGGGTCTCTTGCATTTCCATGTAAATTTTAGAATCAACTTGTCTATTTCTTCAAAAAAGCAAGTTGGAATTTTAATAAGGATTGTATTGATTCTGTAGATAAAGTTGGAGAGCATGGCCATCTTAACAATATTAAATCTTCCAATCCATGAACATGGGATGTCTTTCCATTTACTTAGATCTATTTTAATTTCTTTCAACAATGTTTTGTCATTTGCAGAGTATAGGTTTTGTACTTCTTGTGCTAAATGTATTCCCAAGCATTTTATTATTTTTGATGCTAGTATAAATGGAATTGTTTTCTTAACTTCATTTTTGGATTATTCATTACTAGTGTATGAAAATGTGATTAATTTTTGTATAGCAATCTTGTACCCTACACTCTTGCTGAATTCATTTATCAATTCTAATAGTTATTTGTGGAGTCTTAGAATTTACTATATACAGAATCATGTCATCTGCAAATAGAGATAGTTTTACTTCTTTCTTTCCAATCTCAATCTCTTAATTCTTTTTCTTGCCTAATTGCTCTGGTTAAAACCTCCAATATAATGTTGAATGGAAGTGGTGAGAGTGACCATCCTAGTCATGTTCCCAGCCTTAGGGAGGAAAGCATGCTTTCTTGCACCACAAAGTTTGTTGTTAGCTGTAGGTTTCTTGTAAGTTCTCTTCTATTCTTAGTTTGTTGAGTAGTTTCATTTGCGAAAAAGTATTAGCCTTCTCTTTAATCCCACAACAAACTGCAATGAGAATCCTCATTTTAGAGACAAGCAAACTGAGGCTCTGAACCTACAGGACTTGCTTAAGGCCCCACAGCCGGTAAGCTATGGAGCAGGACTCAGCCGGATCCACAGACTCCAAACTCCATGCCCTAAAATCTCCCAGTCACCTATTTCCATTAGCTACATCGGGATTTCCAACAACAGCCTGGTGTGTCAGCTGCTGGGTCTGGAAAGGAATCCCCTGGGAACATGCCTCCATACAGAGAGGGAAAAATACACGAAGCACTACATAAATGACTCTCTTACCTATACAATGTTCACTTATATACCTAATCCTGAATTGTACCCCACATCTTTTAAATTTTATATATATATATAATATAAATTTATTACAGGCATCCTTGCCAGTGTGAGGTGGTATCTCACTGTGGTTTTAATGGACACTTCCTTAATAACTCATAATGTTGAGCATCTTTATATATAATATAAATTATATATTTATATAATATAAAATAAAATTTTTAAAAATGGCTCTTTCTTCTATTTCTGCTACATGGATAAGGCTTACCAGAGATGGTCAAACTCAGCCCACACTGCCTATGCAGGTCAAAGCTGAGGTTTAAGAAAAATCATAAAGACGACATGAAGAAGACCAGATACTTCAGTGATCAAACGTCTAACAGCTGAAACCAAGCACAGAAGAAACTTTTTTCCCCTTCAAAATCTTAGTCTCCATGATAAAAATTATCCAAGGATTTATGAGATAGATATTAAACTGCGCTATACATATTAGTCTACTGCTTTTAGAAGTGACCCTTAAAACGTTAACCAGTGTCCATTATTATGAAGTTTATATGTTGAATCAGGGAGCTTATTTGGGGTATAAAACTGAAAACAAGTATACTTGTCTCTTCATCACACACACTCCAGACTGAGGCGTGACAATTAGCCCATGGAGCTGTGGCATGTTGCCACCACCTGATGGCAGCATACCTTTCGCGAACCATGGAACTTGAAAGCTGAGAGGGACCCTAAAGGTCAACCAGCTTGAGTGGTCCTCAGCAATGGGAAGCTCAGGCACCACCACGGAGACCAGGATTTAATCAATTGGGGTCGGGCCTATGCCTCAGTAGGGTTTTTGTTGTTTTGTTTTGAGTCAGGATCTCACTCTGTTGCCCAGGCTGGAGTACAGTGGCACGATCACAGCTCACTGCAGCCTCAACCTCCTAGGCTCAAGCGATCCTTCTGCCTCAGCCTCCTGAGTAGCTGGGACTACAAGTGTGTGCCACCATGCCTGGTTAATTTTTTATTTTTTTGTAGAGACAAGGTCTCACTATGTTGCCCAGGCTGGTCTAGAACTCCTGGGT